AAAATGTATATTAGTTTGGGGCGCACGTTTAGGAAAACATGTTATATACGTTTGGACCTTTAAATTTTTAAAACATCCAGGGATGTTATACGTAATCATCATAAAACATGCCACAGAAAAAAATGGATCCTTTATATTAAAAGTAGTAGCTGCAAAAATTTTTTAAATGGGGGTGCGGATTTTTCAACCCCGGGCCCTCTCCCACTGAGGCAGGATGACCCAAAAATAAAGACACACTTTCACCACAGGTCTTCCCGAACCCACACCGTCCCACAGCTCAGAGCCTGGAAAAACTGCAATATCCCCACCCCTCCTTCGAGTGCAAGCTGTATTCCTACTTCCAGGACTCAAATTTTGGGTAACCATTTTTCCTTGAATCCCTAAAAATTTACCTGTCTCCCCACTCCAACAACACGTCAGATAAATTATCCATTTTCCTCCACCTATCTAACATCTCACACATGCCTGTTGAATGTCCAAGCCCTTTGCAGAAAAACCCATTTTTTACCCCTTCCCCTTCCCCCTTTTCTAAGATGACCCAATCCCCCCTTCCCCCCACAAAAGTTTTTATACATCCCCAAACTTTTATTTTGCTCCATCTTCTCTAAAATCCAACCACCTGAAAAAATCTCTTCTCACCCTCGGATAATTTTTTTTGTAACCCCACCAATCCAAATTTCCCCGACATGTTTTCTCGCATAATTTTCATGCTGTGACACTCACTCCCTCACTTTTTCCCTTGCTACATCAAAGCTTCACACACATATAAGAGGTTGGAAAACCACTATACTCGATATTTTCCCTTTTTTAATTTAGGGAAAAAAACATTTTTTGTCCCCACAATATTTATGCACCCCCTCCTTGCTCTGTCGTTTTATGGTTCACCTCATCTTTCATAGACTCACCCAAATGAAAAATCAACCCCCAAATCCTGATCACTTCCTTCCTCCATACTCCCCCCCTCCCCCTCTAAAACCCAACCTTTCATCATTTTGCTTTTTCCTAATATCATAGATGGATTAATTTTTATATAAACATAAACAGGGGGCCCTTGGTTTTTGTTTGCCTTGGTTATTGTTAAATTTTGGGTTTTTCGATGATTTTTTTTTCTCAAAATTTTTTCCCCTTTTTTGTTTATCACTCGGTTTTTCGTCGAGTGACAGTGGTCCGCCATACCGAAGTGTCCGCCCACGCCCACACAAAGACCCCCCCGCGTTCGAGCAACGGGGCTTTGTTACTCGTCACGTGGCATTCCCCTGCATGTTTTCGAAACATTTTGTAATCCATTGTTTTTTGTGCTTATTTATTGAGTGCAACTCTAAGTAAGCCACCGGGGCCAAAGAAAGTTTCCGAGTGCCCCCCTTTGAAAAAGAAGGTTAGAAACCAGTAGAATTTCAAGAAAAAAAACCATAGAATGATTTTACAAAGTTTTGTGGAGAAATTCACACTACCCTTAAAAAAGGGGTAATGATTGTGGTAGAGGGTGGTAGTGATGGTGTAGAGGGTGGTATGAGGGTGGTGGGGTGGTAATATTGGGTAGAGGGGGTATGATGGTGGTAATGTTGTGGAAAGGGGGTGGTAGTGAGGTGGTAGTGATTGTGGTGGGGGTGATGTTGGGGTAAAAGAAAACCCTTTCTCCCCTCTCCCCTCCCGCCGTTTTCCATACCCCAAACAAAGTCTCCAATAAAGGTAAAAGTTTTTTTAAATTTTAAATTTTACCTATTTCATTAGCCCTTTTATATTTATTTCTCTTTTTTCTGTATTAAACTATATTTTTATTCTCATAAAAAGTATTTTTTTGTTAATATTTTTGGGTCTGGAAGGGGGTTTAATTGGATTTACTTTTATTTCTTAGGGGAAATATTGCTTCATTTTTCGTTAAATTTGGGTTTTTTCGTCGACTTTCAAAACAAATTAATGAAAAAAACCGGGGCCCCACTGTATACAATTTAATGCGCCTCAGAGTGATTATTATTGCGTTTTGTTATTACATTATTAATATGGCGTTCTCATACTAATAAGCCCTTTTTAGTGATTTTAATGTGTACTTCACGCCAACACATGTGAAAATTTTATTTAGGCGGGTACACGTAATACCTGTTAAATTTATCAGGGTAATTAAAACATGAAATAACTTTAAAAACATTGAAATTTTGGAAAATTTCCAACATAAGGGAAGAGGGTGCTCACGATCTCACAAAATGTAAATAAATGGGGGGGGTATGGTGATTGATTAAAAAAGTCAGGTCGGGGCAGTATATGTAGGGTTTTGGTCATAATTTGAATGCCCCCGTATTAGCAGAATGCGAAAGGCAAAAGCTGAAAAGCGGGCCCTACTGATGCTAAACCATGGTGGCTCATGTATCCCTGTCAAAGGGCCCACTTTTTCTGTAAAATTATTTCCCTTTTCCTAAACAAAAACCTGATCCCCACAGTCCTCGAAACCTTAACTGCCCTACTAACCCACCACCTAATACAGTACCTTCGATAGTTTCGAGAGTCTACTACTCTCGGAGCCGCCCAAGGGCCAACCTTGAATATCTGCCACAGGGTCCTTGTCCACCTTTTCCTATGCCTTTTTTAAATCCATATCAGAAAAAATTTTCCCTTCCTTTATCAAATATTGTTTTATATGCATGCTTGAATGTAAACACTGTCTACACCCCCCCCCTTTTTAAAAAACCTTGTTATCTTCAATCCTCTTTTCCTTTTTACCCGAATTATTTCAATACCCTTACCAGGGGATATCACGATGCTTCTTCTCCTTAATACTAACCTCTTTTTTTTCCCCTTCCCTTTTTACAAGACATTTCTCCCCTTTTTTTGGCTAATTAACCCTTTCAGGGGCGCCAGGGCCCCCCCCAGAGACTTTTCCAGGGGGCCCCCAAATTTAAAAAAAAAAAAAAAAAAAAATTTTTTTTTATGAAAAGATGAGAATCTTTTTTACGGTCAAATCAAAACCAAAGTATGAAATTTGATGGAAACTTATGGAATTAGTCTCGCGAAATTAGCAGCTCGACATGTTTCGGACGGGGATTTTGCAACTTTGGCCCTATTTTCGGCCAATTCTAAGTATCTCGACAAAAAAAACATTTCTTTTTCGCTAGAACCTTTATTTTTTTACAAAATGAGTACAAGAAACCACCCCTTTACCATTTCAATATCCAATAAAGTGGTCAGAATTTAGCAATTTTTTTAATTTACACAAATTTCAAAAATCCAATTTCCCCCAAAGAGCCAGAAAAAACAAGAAAAACTTTTTGGCACTAAAAAGCCAAGTTCTCTGTTCGTTAGCACACCCCCCCGGCCCCTCTTAATTTCTTTGGCTTTTCCCCCCTTTGAATTTTTTTTCTTACAAAAAAAAAGAAGATTTTTTGTTTGCAGAACTGCAAAAAGTGTAGAAATGGGATAAATAATATCAGTGCACTTGTGAAAATATTAACTCCAGTTTTTGTTATTGGAAAAGCTTAGCATGATTTGTTTACTTTTTAACTTTGGTAAAAAGAACATTTTTTGCTACTTTTAGCTCAATTTCAAGGTACTTTTTATTGTAAAACCAGTCAAAATCATCTCAATTTCTGTAATTGTTTCCATTCTATAAAAAAAAGACCAAGAAAACTAGAAACAAAAATAAATAACAACGAAAATACAGTGCAAAGTCGCTGTTTTTAAACCAAAAACATGGTCAAAGTTTTTTTTTTTTCATTTTTCGCTGTGAGTTTCAGGATTTTTTTTTTATGCCATACGACCCCTAACCCATTCTTTTATAGTAGGCCTACCAGCTTTCCTCACTGATTTGAGGGGGCTAAATTTAGGCG